GTCTGGGATGTGAAACGCGGTTGACTACATGGGAGTCCAGCGACATAGCCATTACGCTAACTGCTGGTTCCCCCACCGCTGAGTCTTCACACTGTTCCTCACTCCCCACCTCAGCCAGTGCAGGATCATGTGTGTGGCCTGCACTCAGGGAGTTCTTGGGACTTGAACCATGAACCTTCCCATGTGGAGTTGCCTCACTGAGTGTTGCATTTTACTGCTGTGCCTCTGTGCAGCCTCCTTTCTTTTTTTTTTTTTTTTAACTCTTTCTCCTTTCCTTTTCTGTTAAAATAGTCCCCCCTCCACCTTTTTTTATTGCCAGAGGGTGCATGCATTTGGTAGAGAGAGAGTGAGAGAGAGAGAGAAAAAGAGAGCCCTTCATTGGACATAGTCATGCCGTAACCCCTTTCCTCCGTTACTGCACCCCGTCAGGGTTTGGGGCACACACGCACATACACCTGGCATGTGTTTCAAGTCACTCGGGCCAGGATCTGAGCCATGGTGGGGATCTGGTCCCCAACACGGAGCACAGCTGCTGTGTTTTGGGGCTGACCTCCCTTGGTGCCCTGTAAAGCGTCTTCTCTTTATTGCGTAGGGAGACTAGTGTCTGGTGGCTCCAGGATGGCATTCAGAGCTGAGGACCCTGTCCTGGCACGGTTTCCTCAGTCCTTTCAAAAGCCTCGTCTGGCATTCCCTAGGATACCCAGGGCTCCTGTCCCCTCCACTCCCAGAACCACCTTTTTCAGCTCCTGTCTCTCCAAGGACCAAGGAAGAGGCTGACAGGACCCCTTAAAAAATAACTCCTACCCTCTAACTTAGTTTCCTGCTCTCTAAAATAGAAGTGAGACTCAGAAGGGAAACATGGGCATGTGTGTGTGTGTGCATGTGTGTATGTGTACATGCATCTCACGGGTCTCCCAGCAGCTCTTGGGGGCAGATGGGAAAGTTAATTAGCACCAGGATGAAAGGAGTTCGGGCGTAATTGCAGGTAATATCAGGACAGCCAGAGGGTGGGGCAAGAGCCCCTGAGCATGCCGGGTGGTGGGCAGCCCCTAGCCCCACTCTGAAGAGCAGATCAGACACCTGGAGAGGCAGGGAGGAAGCATCCGAGTGGAGGGGCTTTGTCTTTGCAGGGAAATGCTGGTTAGTTGCTAAGGAACGGGGTTGTCTTCCCTGATCCAAGCCTCCAGTGTTTGGTTGAGCTTCGAAGGGGGATGCTAGGCTGGGCTGTCTCCCTCGGTAGTTGGTCTTTCCCCTGGAGCGGCCGAAACCCTGACAGGTCTCTTGGGGATGGCTCTCATCTGGGCCAGATGGTTCTCCCCACTGCCCTAAGCCTAGCCACTGCTCCGCCGGGACTGGGGAGACCACAGGCGTGGGGAGGCAGGGAAACAGAAAACGGTGTGTGCAGCGGAGAGCCAGCGCGCCGGCAGAGCCTGGCGGCCTCCCCGCCGTCTCGTTTATGTTCACCGTCGCGGTGGTCTTCCGACAAGGTGCTCATTGCCGTTGCTGTCGTTGCGCTTGCCCCAGTAGTCAGAGTTCTGAAACGGGTCAGTTGCCGAGGTCACAGGACTGCCAGGTGGCAGGAGTTCGACTGGGTCGAGGCCAGCTCTGTGAGAAAGCTCGGGCTGTCCAGAGCACTCCACCTGATGCGTCCACTGGGCTTGCTCCCTGTCCCAGAGCTGCTGGGCCTGAACGTCCGGGACTGTCATGACCACCGTCGCCAGTGAGGCTCCCTGGACGGCTTTCCCTCCTTTCCCGCCTCTTCACTTCTTCCGAGAGACCCTAACAGGGTCCTCACACCACAATCCACCCCCAGGCCTCAGCCAGCCCAGATCGGGAGGTCTCAGGACACACACCGAGGACCTTGCCCTGGTGGGTCCAGCCGCGCCACCACAGTGCCACACCTGGTCCCCTTTCTACCTCCCTTCCTCACCTAAGAGCATCTGTCACATGGCTGTAGGGGAGACAGAGGTGCACTGATGGCTCAGGGGTGGTAAGCCGGGGTCTGGGGCAGCTCAGGCTGGGCCAGGCTGCTGTTCTGGGCATTCAAGAGCCATGGCCACTGGGATGGCTAGAGCCAAGGGGAGGGAAGATGCCTGGGGGAGACACCACTTCAACTCTTCTGGCCCTTCCAGCCTTCCCTCTTGGCCCAGTCTAACTCTGAGTGAGGAGCAGAGCCCCTTTATTCTGCAGCCCGAGAGAAGGGTGGGAGCGCTGTCCACCTCTGTACACTGCCCGCAAGGAGGCTTCTGGTCATGCCTGAGTCCGTGACCAGTTACGGATGGGAGTGGATGCCTCAACTTAGGAGAAGCTGCTTCCTCCGTACAATGGGACCAACACCTACGTTATTTGGTTGTCATGACAATCAGATGAGGACATGCATGACAGTCCCCAGAGGGCTATGATGCCATGCGGGGATGCATAGCATGAAGTCACGTGTTAATCATTTGACGGGCTTGGTCTCCAGAAAGGGCCCGATAAATGGTCCATGAGGTGTGGTCCACGTGGATCTTGGCAGAGGCTACAAGGGAGGCCTGGCCCGGATTCCCAGCCTGCTGGAAAAGCCCAGAACCTGGCGGGGCTGAGCAGGCCGCAGGACAGAGGTCCAGACCATACCAGAGGACATCCGTATCTGAGACCCGGCTGTCTCCTTCATCCCGGGAGGGGTCACTAACCCAACCGTATCTGTTTCTTGGCTGCCCATTGCAGACGTCAAGTTGATTCCCAGTCTGCCTTTTCCTTCCTGGAGGAGGTACTGAGGAGAAAACGGGTGAGAGGACCACAGAGCTCTGTGGGCAGAGGCTGAGCCAGGGGTGGGTTTCCCGGGTCGCCTCGGCCTCCAGGCCTCCCCTCTCTGCCCTGGGCCTCCTTCTCTGTGGTTTCTGGGGATCGCCTGGCAGAGCTGGCGTTAGAGCTGGGCCACGTTTCGGGATCAGGAGGGGGGGTCTCTCTTGTAGTTGAACTAAAAAGCCCAGAGACACCAGGGCAAAGAAAGAGGGGGGAGGAAAGGAAGAAAGCCGATAATTTCCTCGAAGGATAAACATCCGATTTTTTTCCCTCACCCAAAATAAACATGCTCGCCACAAGGAATGAAAACCGAAGACGGGAGGATGTGTCTCAATTTGGGGCTGCTCTAGGAGGCTGGCCTTCTGTTTATCCTGGCCCTGGGCACCGGCTGGAGCTGCCAATTACACTCGGGCCTGGCGGGGCGGGGGTGCAGGGAGAATGTCCCCGGGAGTGTGGAGCCCAGAAAGTCCCTCCTGAGGCTGCCCCATGACCATGCAAACGGACACTTCCCTTCGCTTACTTGAGACCTTGCAGGCTTGCCTGGGGTGAGAGGAACGCGGAGACTCAGCAGTTCCCACTGCCCAGGCCTCCTTTGGCCCTGGCTGCCATCAGATGACCTTCCAGAGCCTGAGGGTTTGGGGCCCAGC